TAAAATACTTATTGAAACCATATAAAGCATAGATGTATATCTTTATCCTCTATCGAACTTTACAATGTTTATTATAATGTACTTCAACCCTATTGTCTCTCTCGATAACAATAAAATTCACTAACAATTCAATTGGTGATCAAGCAATGAAAAAGAACGATAAACGATAATAAACATCAACACATCAAATTAAAGTTAAAACAATTAATTAAAAACTAAAAATATCATAACAAGGGTTCATCTTATTCTAACAATATATAAAATTATCCTAACATATTGAATTCACAAGAAATAATATTTAAGTGAAAAGACATAATCCGAATTTTTGCTAAATTGAGAAGGTAAAGATGAATCTTAAAATTTTGAATCTTTTCAATGGTTTCTTGATGAATATCCACTTGCGCCTTCTCTTCTTTGTCCAAAAATTAGGTTTGAATCTTCACTTCTCTAAAAAAAACTACGAATTCTCCTCCTTTGATGATAATAATTGATGAATAATGTAGTATAATATGTACATGAGAAGTCCCCCATATGTATTTTGTTGTTAGATATTTGTAGGAGTCAAAAATTGGTTGAAAATCATGTCCAAATTGATTTTCAAAAGAGTTCCAATCGATTAAGGAAAGTTCAATTCATGCGCAGATTTTTTGTCTCTGCATAATAGTCAGTATTTTAGCCATAATTTTCTCTCCGAATTTTCAATTGAAGCAATTCAAAGTGAATTGGAAAGATACCTAAAAGGGGTACAACTTTTATTTAAATAGAATTTTCCCAATTCGAACGTTTATTATACCAAAAATGGGTCTTAAGTTTCGACTAAAAATTTGGAATATAACTTAGCGATTGAACATTGATTGTGATAATATTTTGATCACGTTCCATTCCTTTTTGAATTCAAATTCTATCCAATTGTCTCCTAAAAATCTTCCAACTCATCTTTTGGTCCGAATCAACTATTGAATATTTGCAATTTGATCCCCAAACTTTGAATTTTTCCATTTTCACCATTTTTCGATTCTTTCTTTCAATTCCTTGTCTAACCATTGAGTTTTACCTTATAACATAAATTACAATAATTTAGGATATATTTTGTCAAAATGACTATCAAATATTGATATTTTAGACACTGAATAAGTGCATAAAATACACTTATCAGTAATAGTGTCGCATTGTAGTTGACGAGACTTGCGTTTAACCGTGTTATATGTAACCAGATTTATTGTTTGTGACAATACCTGTGCTATCTGTGATTAACTGTGACCAGACCGTGTGATTTGGTCTAATTTATGACTATATGTAACCAAATCACTGATATGTGTTATATGTAACTAATTGTGATCAAATTTGTATTCGATGTGAGTGTCTGTGACCAAATCAATCTAATTTGTGACTCGCTGTTAATTTGGTCGTAGATAGTCACAATGAAAACAGAATTGATCACACCCTATCACAATAAACAAATACTTGGTCACAGATGGTCACCACAAACAAATCTACACATACAAAAGACCAACACCACAATCCACGACCATTCACCACCACCACCACTCCAATACACCATCTCTACCACCTTCAACTCAAGTTTACCTTTACCTCGAAATCTACAACAAACAGTCACCATTACCATCATCATCACCATCACCATCACTTCTACCAATACCTTCAACAAATACCAACCACCACCAACAATTTCAGAATACACAAAATTCAAATTATCCACCAAGTTACTATGCCTATGCCTCGACCTAGTAACACCACCGCCACTCTTCTCTTCATCGTCGTCAGTCGACACCCACCACTAGAACTACCACTTCCACTACCCAAATTGTTGAAAATAGGGTCATTAATTTCAGATCCACCTCCAGCACTGAGCTTCTCCATATATATATATAAGTAGAAACATATCATCCTTCGATCCTATCTCCTCCACACTTCTTATCAGCGATTTGAACGGGTCCAACACTAGATCTAAATCCTTCGATATCCAAAAAATCACCTCAAAATGCACTCTTCGATGATGTGTCAACCTCGTTGCCCCCGAGAAAACGGCATCCGATTCAACGACTACTTAGAGAAGAATCTAAATATAAGGTATTGGATGGAAAAAAGGTTGATGAGCGGAGGGTGCGTCTCATTGCGCATTGCGAGTCGCCTTCAGCAGCTCTCATAGCGCCATCAAGGTGGGTGGTTGCCAGAGTGATGATAGATATACAAAATAGAGAGAAAGGGTGTGGGAGCTAGGGTTGGATGGGATGGGTTGGGTTGGGTTATTAGTAATATATTTATTTAATATAATATTAAATTAATAATTTGTAATTAACACCTAAAATCTGAATTTTAAACTTTACATATGAAAAACTAATCTTTAACGGTAAGGTTCTAGGTAATTTTCTCTATATAGAAAGTTTACGGTTAGGATAATTTTTTATCAATAGATAATCAGTCTTTACTTAACTCGTCCCAAGTAATACTAAAGACTTCCATGTCTTTCTTGGTTGAGATTGAATTAGTATGTCACAAAGTTATAATAGAAAAAGCTTATATCGGTGACTTTCACCTACTTCAAATCTTCAATCAATAATTTCTTTCATCGATTTCAATAAATTGGACACGATGCTACTTTTTCTTGTATTGTATCAGTATTGATTGGAATTATAACTCCTAGGAATGAGTTCAATAACTAATTATGAAATTCATTAAAAGGAGGTAATCTACGCGTACTTTTGTATTCCATTACATCATTACGGTTTTATTCTAGTCATTAGCCTTAGTCTTCAAATATCTGATTTCAAGATTAGAGTGTATTTATTTTTAAACATTTAAGAATTAATGGATTTTTGAGTTGAAATACATAAAACTAGGGGTAGATTTAAAAGTCTAGAACCGAATGAACTTAGAGAGATGAAAAGGAATATGCCAGGATATTACCTAATTTTTTTTTGTTCTTCAATATATCGAATACTGTACAGGAACAATACTGGGTGAAGGAACCGGTGCGACTATGTCGGACGATGAGGATGAACTGCAGATGGAATTCTCATTAGATCAATCAGGAACTGATGGACATGATATGATGGGATTTGGACCGTTGATTCCAACAGAATCAGAGAGGTCTCTTATGGAAAGAGTTAGACAAGAACTCAAAATTGAACTTAAACAGGTGAATTTCTTCTAAAATTTTAAAATGCAAAATATTTTTCACAATTGAATCTCCTAATCTAAAAACCTTAAAACATTATCAAACGTGCCCTTGCAGGGATTCAAGTCGAAAATCGAAGATGTGAGAGAAGAAATATTAAGAAAAAGAAGGGCAGGAAAGTTACCTGGCGACACAACTACAGTGCTCAAGGATTGGTGGCAGCAACACTCAAAGTGGCCTTATCCAACTGTAAGTCTCTCCTTTTTCGACCAGGTCAACACATCGTATTGGACAAAATTTGAAAAAATTAAGGAAGAAAAATAAACTATAAAACTTGTCACGAATTCTTGTCATTTCATTGGTAAGAACTCTAAAAAAGTACGTCAATACTAATTTAATTCCCCGACACTCCTACTTGCGTAAAAACCATTAGACCGTGATCGTAAATCCAATTCTTGCTCGCACTTTTCATAACTTGTGTACGACTTGGAGTATTTTGGCTTGACTTAAAAAAAAAGTTTACTTGATTAGTAAATATGTAAGTTTTACTTTTTTTATTCTTCACCGTTCGAACATGCTCTAAAATGTCTCGTATTTCTCAAGGAAGGCATTAAATTCTATGATACTGCAGGAAGATGACAAGGCAAAACTTGTAGAGCAAACTGGGTTGCAGCTAAAGCAAATAAACAATTGGTTCATAAACCAAAGGAAGAGGAACTGGCACAGCAATTCACAGACTGCTACAACTTTAAAGTCCAAGCGCAAGAGATAGAGAAAGTTGTGCTATATTTTGGGTACACTATGGTTTGGCGACCACATTGCAAATGTGTTGATAGATCAAGGTCTAATCGTGCAATTTTTTCTTCATGTGCATGCTGGGTAACTTCGAATTCAAAGTTCAGTAAGCTAATGGAAAGAAACGTTTAGATAAGTAATGTTTTCTTTAAACTTTTGACGAAGTGTATGGTAAATCGATTGAGTTGTTCAAGTTACTTATTTTTAACTTAGGGAGGAATAAAAAATCTATTTTGGAACTTATTTAATTATAAGTAAAATCTTTTTTCTAAGCAGAGCCAAACACGCTAGAGTGAACCAAAGCAAAAAGGGACAAAATGAGAGAAATTGTTGAGAGTGGGATTTGAACCCACGCCCTTTCGGACCAGAACCTTAATCTGGCGCCTTAGACCAACTCGGCCATCTCAACGTCGATGTTGTGTGTTGTTCTGACAAACTATTTCTAAGATATTACAATTTCTGATACATATTAAACAAAACTATATTGAATCACCTTTGATGAAATTTCGTTAGAAGACTTTTTAGCTGCCAAAATAAATTGAGAAAATCCAAAAAAGCCAAATAAAATTTATAGAAAATTAACTTTGTAATTAGTCCAATAACTATAAGAAATTGCTTTACAACCAATTTCTTGACAATTTACTTCATGAAAATTTTGTTCCACCTTAAAATATAAGAAAACTATCAAATTCTTCACTTGCTTTCTTGTCTCTCCCTCAGCATCCTTACTCCCATATACCTGCAACACAAACTATATAGGTTTAATGGCACGGTCGACTAAGTAATACTAGAAGTGATTAAGAAGAAAAATATGTTAAAGTGTGACTATTGTTGTCCCGTGACATACCAAAGAATACCCTATTAGGTTAATTCATGCAAGTGTACTTGATGGGATTGAAAATGAAAAAAGAAGTTAAAATCGTATATACTATTCTATACAGTTTGTCCATTGTTGCATAGTAGACAACCACGAATCAGATTAACGAAGAAATGGAAGTTGAAATCTTATCTGTGTACGCAGTAATATCGAGTACTGCATGCTGAGCATGAAATATACGTGTTACCATTACCTTCCAAGCATCATAACAGTGGCTTGAGGATTTGTTCCTGGAGAGTAATTAAAGGTGGATCCATCAATAACCCTCAAAGCATCCACTCCAAGAACCCTATAATCTGTATCAACCACTCTCCCAACTTGACACCCTCCATGATAATGCCATATAGTCATCACAGTATCCTTACAAAATTGCTCCAATGAAGTTGAAACATTGGCATGTTTAGGTAGCAAATTCACAGGTGCATTGGCTGACATGTTAAGGAGAACTGGCAGTGAAAGATAATCATATCTGAACTGAGAAAGTGCCTTTGATTCAATCACATTTTCAATTATTTTGAGCCCATCAACACATCTTTGTAAATCTTGTGGTTCTTTGAAGTAATTGAATGTGACTGATGGATTGTCATTAGGGCTCTTGTTTTTGAGGAGTAAATTGCCTGTGGAGATTGGGCCCATGATTTTTTCTAGGATGAATCCACCTCTAAATGCTGCTGGCTCAAGTTGTTCCATGGCATCAATGGCTTTGGCTAGAGCTTCTGGAGTTCTTTGCCTTGGTGGAACTGTTGATAATTGCCCAATCTTCGATGTTTCTTTTATGGAACATGATGTTGAGAGACCGTAATCACTTGATTCTTCTAATCTTACCTTGTTGTGAAATTTAGGGCCCGTTTGATTCTCATTATTGTAGAATGAGAATGAAAAATATAGCCGTTATTGTGCCCCACACAAGAGATAGAAATTCAAAATTGATGGCTTGATGTGATGGATAACGGTCATATTTTTCATTTTTATGGATGAAAGATGGGAAACAAACAGGGGCTTAGATTTTTATATACATGCATGCTCATAGTCAAGTTTTTGTTTCTTTATCATGTTGGATACCCAAATACATGAAAGGAGAATTTATAAAAGTTCCAAATGAATTCTAAGACATTTAAATACATGTTTGATATGTTGGATTAGACTCGACTAAGCTACCAATTAATATTGATCCCTTATTACGGTAGCAATACAATCTAGTGGCATGGTCCAGACAGATATGGACTCAGCTGATTTTCAGTGCACAATTTCTACAGGTTTATCCGTTGGATCCGGGAGACAAACGCTCATAGAAACCTTAAGCACTTACGGTGAAGATGCGAATCTGTTTTAAGGACACTATGTTTACATAGGCCCCGGTTTGCTAGTTGTTAATTCCTGTATTTCTTTTTCAGTATACATGCATCAAACACTATATTCTACAATATTATATCCTGCTATAATTTTGTAACAATTAGTCTCAAGAAAAGGAAGACATCGATGCATGAAGTTTATGGGTTTGGCTAGGCCCAATAATGACTGTATCAACAAATGAAGTCCTTGATACCAATGAAGTATTCGAGTGCGATATCATTATCAATCAGTAAGAAAGGAAAAACGTTTAACCAATGATGACACTAGGATGGAAGCGGAATACCTTGGGGGAGAACATCCCGAAGTCTCTCCGAGGAGAGCCACCATTAAAATTTGCTCCGCTTGCAGCTTCGATGTAGCTTCCATATTTTGTGATCCCGACCACCTCAATGAGGGATACCTCAACAGGATTTGGAGATGGTACAAATATTGCATTCATTGGGTTATCTGACATTCCTTGGCCTACCAAAGACAGGTCCACAACCACTGAAATATTATGGGCCTTAAGGTGCTCTTTTGGGCCTATACCACTCAACATTAGAAGTTGTGGGCTTCCAAGTGCCCCAGATGACACAATAATCTCATTCTTTGGCCCATTCTTCAAATACGCTCTATGCTTAGTTCCTGATGGGTCTCTAAAGACCACCCCATGAGCTGTTGGCCTCTCTTTACCTGTGTAGTTAGACCAATCATTAGCAATCTATTCAAGTAAATAGTAATTTTGTCCTTCATGATTGATTGATACTCGAAGAACAATCTATTCAAGTAAATAGTAATATAAGTTTTTGGCACGTAGTAATTTACAAGGTCAGAGTATACAGAAATAGATTTTAGCTCAATATTTCTTATTTAATACAGTCGAATACTTCTCCATCAAGATTGTGCGTAATGTAAACCCTCGACTATATATAGGTGCCCACGAGCATATCTCGTAATTGATCACTAATTTGAATCAATCGAGAGTGAACGCTACTAGCGGTGGAAATGACTCTACTAGAATACACTGTTCCAATCATCTTCAGTACTGTGTATTAAACATGCGAGATGTATTTATCACTCACCTTTGGTTCTGAACATGATTCTATGAACAGAAGCATGTAATAACACAGTGAGTCCACTAGGGTTTGCATATTCAAGAAGGTCAGCTGCAGTATGCCTATGCCCTTCAACATCAAAAATTGTTCCACCAACCTTTGTACCAATCAAATGATCATACGTAAATCCATTGTAAGGAGTGACACCAGACTCCAGCAATCCATTTCTTACAGCAGATTGCCACTGTCTCATGGGAGGCTCAAATGCCACTTTCTTTTCCACCCACGAATAAGACTCATTCACCAGCAGCCAGTCCCAGCCGGCGTCTTGCACGAACAGTGGGGCGGCACGAGTGTAAAATCCAGCGTTCAGGCAGCTTCCGCCGCCTAGAACCCGAGCTCGGGCGTTTATCACACCGTCCTCGGAGATGAAGCGTTGAGAAGGAGATGATGGAGAAATGTCAGAAAGGGCTTCACCAAATGCATCTAGGTTGGTGATGTTAGGGTTCCCGTATGGAGAGCCGCCTCGTTCGAGGAGGAGGACGTTGGAGTTTTGCGAGAGAGTGGCGGCTAATGGGCAGCCGGCGGTGCCTCCACCAACTATGATGTAGTCATAATAGGATACTTCTGGAGCTGAGGTTGCTTCGTGCATGAAAGTGTAGTTTGGTGCTGCAAATAAGAGGAAACATTGAAATTAGGTTATTCTCGATAAATTTGAAGGCGACTTTATGAATTCTTTTTTCCACTCTATTCAATTCAATACTTCATTTATGGCAATTTCCATAGCAAATAGATGGTTAGCAAGCACATGTATCAATACTTAATTAAAAAATCATCAGTATAACTTCTGAATGTATTTATTGGAATAAAAATAATAAAAACTTTTTTGTCCAAAAAATATTAATAATTATCGTAGAAGTAGTTGATTTATATTGATTCTATTGTATCCTAAATATACATCTATGTGTGATAAAAGTTGATGAAATATATCGTTTAAAAGTTGATAACATTACGAGTCATATAAAATGTGTGATCAAAAATGAATTTAGGAAAAAACGAGTTTAAAAAAAAAACAAAAAAAGGAACCAAAGAATGGCTAAATATATTAAAAACAAGGCTTAACCCCGTTTGACACAGAATTTTGAAATTATAAACTTGTTTGTTTTATTTTTATCCACACATTTCATTCAATTCACAACTTATATCCACCTTTTAACTATATATTTTATTAATCCCACCCATTTATAATCCATGAAGGCTTTGTCAAATAGGGGCTTATTTTATTGTCGTTGTTGGATGATCGAGGCCACATTTATAAAAGTTTTTTCAAGACACGAAACAAGCTTACCCCCTAACTTCAGCCCAAATAACGTATGTAAGAGAAACTTAAAAATTAAATAAACATATATACATACACATGCACTGAAAGTAAAGTGAATTTTCCAAGAATTATACATTTCTATCATCCTTAAAGTAAAGTGAAGACAAGATTTTTCATTTATGTTCGAAAACGAATAAGCCTCTTGGCGTCTTCATTTTTCTTTGCATAAAATAAGTACACGAGCTTTCGAAAATAAGAAACATTTTTCTTTTGAAATTAAAAGTAACTGAAAAGAAGAAATTTCATTGGAATAAGAAAAAAAAAGCCAGGAAAAATAATTAATTTGGTACCTTTGTCAGATAAACAGAAGCCATGAAAGAGGAGAATTGAAGTAGTAAACAATCTCCAGAGCCTAAAACCCATCATTTTTATCATAATCCTCGTGCACTTATAATAATAAAAAAAATAAACACTTCTTTTACAATGCAAAAACTTGATTATATCCTGTAAGAAAAAGAAAAATCAACTTATATAGAATACTCTTGAAGGGGCCAAATATAAAGACGGCTAAAAATTTTGACAGCAAAAAGATTCTTGCTGGGGTTTTCAGGCAATGAAGACGTAGTGCAAAAGTGATGTAAATGTGTCTGAAAAACATAAATAATTCAAGAAAATGCAAAAGTTGTGATATAAGATTGTCCGAATTTAATGATATGAAAAAGGCTAATAATGGCCTTGCCAAGAAAATTGCCAGATTGGCAGCTTCAGTCATTGGCTATTGATCACCTTCACATGTGCTCTTCTTGCATCCAATTAATAACCATCTTGTCTAAAAATTTAAAAATAATCTAATTGTTGTGGTTTGACCCGTGGGCATTTGAGTCTAAATTGGAGTGATCTTGAAGATATTAAAATTATGGACCGAAAGAAAAAGTAGCCGCATTTTTGCTAGCTTGGCGCTATTCCAGCTTGAGCAAGCCCGGTAGAAAACAACCCGAGACTTGCTCACTCGCCTGGCGCTGCCATGTCTCACGAGCTACAAGGTTGTCCTGCCCATGCTCATTTTCGCTTTTTAACGCGATATATATATATATATATCTCTGTGTGTGTGTGTGTAGAATAAAAGAACAGAATAAAACATATTAGAGAGAGATTCAGACAACATTTTTAGAGCTTTAGATTTCAATTAAGTGCATTGAGATCTTGTAAATACAATTGCTATTAATTAGAGTGGATTTCTCCTCCTCTGCCTGTAGTTTTTATCCCGTATTGGGTTTCTGAGTAAATTTTGGTGTTTATTTTCTTATTTATTTCATTATCATCATTATCTTGAGATCCAAATTCATAACTAGTGGTATCAGAGCGATGTTGATTATTCCACATGGAGACATTGAAGTATCATATCCCGTTGTTGGATAGAAATATGAGATTTACCTTTTGACAAGTGAAGATGCAGGTGGTTCCAGCGCAGATGGATTTGAAGAAAGTCTTGCTTGGTTTTGATGGATATCTTCTACCTAGACGCAGGATGAAAAGAAGCGTAGGGATCGAAAAGCCCAATCTCAAATCAATCTACATCTTTCAAATCAAATTCTTTAGGATGTTTAAAAGGAGAAAAGTGTCGCTGCGTTGTGGTTGAAGTTGGAGCTACTTTGCATGACAAAGAGCTTGACCAGCAAGCTACACTTGAAACAACTCTTGAAGGAGTTTTAAGAGGTGCAGTTATTATTGGAAACAACGCACCTTGCAAAATTGTTAGAGTTGGTACAGTCAGAATCAGAATGTTCGATGGGGCTATCAGAACACTTACAGATGTAAATCAATATCCAGAATTGAAGCGGAATCTCATATCTTTGAGTTCACTCGACTCAAAGGGTTATTGATACACTAGTGAATGTGGAGTTTTGAAAGTGAGCCGGGGTGCTCTTGTTGTCATGAAGGGATATAAAAACTCTACACAATTGTACATTTTGCAAGGTTTTACAGTAATTAGGGATACAACAGTTTATACTTATTCTTTGACAGATGATGAAATTACAAAACTTTGGCATATGCGGCTCCGGCATATGAGTGAGAATGACATGACAGAGTTGAGTAGAAGGGAACTTCTTGATGGGCAGAAGACCAGCTAAATAAATTTTTGTGAGCATTATGTCTTTGGAAAACAGAAGAAAGTCAGATTCATGAAATGAAGACACAACACGAAGGGAACACTTGAAAATATCCATTCAGATATTTGGGGACCGACTAGAGTACCATCAAAAGGAGGTCATTATTACTTGTTGATAGTGATTGATGATCTTTTCAAGAAAGTTTGGGTATTCATCTTGAAGCAGAAGAGTGATGTGTTTGGGATCTTCAAGGAGTGGAAAACATTGGTAGAAAAACAGACTGGAAAGCAAGTGAATATCTATGCACAGATGATGGGTTGAAGTTTTGTTCAGATGAATTTAGTAGCTTCTGCAGGGTTGAAGACATCTTGAGACACTTGACAGTGCCTCGAACTCCTCAACAAAATGGTGTGGCAGAATGGATGAATAGAATTTTGATGGAAACGGTTCGTTGTATGCTTTCAAATTTTGAGTTGCTTAAGACTTTTTAGGCTGAAACTTCTACTACAGCTTGTTTTCTGATTAATTGCTCACCTTCAACTACCATTGATAAAAAGACACCAGAAGATGTATGGTCTGGTAAACCTTCTTGTTATTTTGATTTGAAAATTTTTGGGTGTCCTGCTTATGCTCATGTGAATAATGAAAAGTTGGAGCCTAAGTTTAGAAAGTACATCTTTCTTCGGAATAAATCAGGTGTGAAGGGGTTATGGTGTCTTGAGACAAGAAAGGTTAGTAGGGATGTAGTATTTGATGAACTTGCTATGGTTACTGGTTCACCTCTTGGGGACTATGATAAAATTGAGGAGTAGAGCCATTCAATTCAGCTAGATTTGGAAATTGGTTTAGAGGAACAATCAGAGATTGCAAAATAGTCTACTACAGATCAGTCTAGTTTGGGGTTGATAGACATTAATATCTTGCCTACACTACCAACATCACAGTATTCAATAGCTAAGGATAGACCTCACAGACATATTAGACCTCCAAAGAAGTATGGAGAAACAGATTTGATAGTTTACGCATTGAGTGTGGTTGAAGATATTGATTCCACCGAGGAGCCTATTGCATATTCAAAGGCAGTCAGTTGCAGTGATTTTAGCACATGGATGATTACTATCCAGGATGAGATTGAGTTATTAAGCAAAAATAACACTTGGGACTAGGTAAAATTACCTAGAGGTAAAAATGTTGTTCGCTGTAAATGGGTGTTCAAAAGAAATGAAGGAACATCAGGGATTGAAGATATTGATACAAAGCTAGATTGGTGGTAAAAGGCTACAGTCAGATTTCAAGCGTTGACTTTACAGATGTGTTCTTACCAGTTGTGAAACATAGTTCAATTCGAGCTTTACTTGGAGTGGTGGCTAAGAATGATTTGAAGCTTGAATAGATAGCTATCAAGACACCATTCTTACATGAAGAACTTGAGGTGACCATCTACATGCAACAATTAGAGGGGTTCAGAGTCTTTGGGGAAAGAAGACTGTGTGCGCTTGTTGAAGAAGTCCTTGTATGGATTAAAACAGTCACGAAGCAATGGTATAAGAGGTTTGATTCATTCATGACTACTCATGATTTCTTCAGATGTAATTATGATAGTTGTGTGTACTTCAGAAATGAAGATAGTAAATCGACTACATAGTTGTTATTATATGTTGATGATATGCTAAGAGATTTGACTCATTCGTGACTACTCATGGTTTTGATAGATGTAATTATGATAGTTGTGTGTACTTCAGAAAGGAAAGTGGTGGATCAACTACATATTTGTTATTATATGTTGATGATATGCTTATAGCAACCAATGATAAAGCAGAGGTCAGAAAGTGAAGTTTCAACTCAGTAAGGAGTTTGATATGAATGATTTAGGTGCAACAAAGAAGATTATTGGTATGAAAATCTTGAGGGATAGAAACGCTGGCAAATTGTATTTGAGTCAGAAATGGTGCATTGAGAAGGTGCTTGAAAGATTCAATATGGTGAATGCGAAGACTGTCCGTACTCCCTGGCTGTTCACTTTAAATTATAATCTAACTTGTGTCCTTAGTCAGATAAAGACATCAATTACATGTCTCGGGTTCTTTATTCGTACAGTTGGTTCGCTTATGTATACTATAGTTTGTGTAAGATCTGTTTTGGTACATGTAGTTAGCAGATACATGGCAAACCCTGACAAGTAATATTGGAAAGCAGTGTAGTGGATCTTCAGATACTTGAGGGGCTATTCTAATACTTGTTTTCATTTTGGTAGAAATTCAGATGGAGTCATAGGTATGTAGATTCAGATTATGTAAGGAATTTTCATAAGATGAGATCCCTTATAGGATATGTGTTTACCCTAGGAGGCTGTTCTATCATATGGAAAGCAACTTTGCAAAATACAGTAGCTTTGTCTACAACAAAAGCAAAATACATGACCATTATAGAGGCATATAAAAAAGTTATGTAGCTGAGAGGATTGATTGATGAAATCAGTGAAGATTTGCAGATGTCTACGGTATTCAGTGATAGTCAGAGTGCAATTTTCTTGACTAAGGATCAGATGTTTCATTAGAAGACTAAGCACATTGATGTGAGGTATCTTTTGTGCGGATGTGATTGCTTGTGGTGATATTGTAGTGAGTAAGGTTGATACCAAGGATAATCCTACTGATATGATGACAAAATCACTTCTCATATCTAAGTTTAAACATTGCTTGAACTTAATTGGTGTTTGTCATTGATTTAGTCCATTGGGGCTTGTTTGGAAGATGATGATATTGTAGTGATCAAGTTTGTTACCAAGGATATTCCTTCAGATATGATGACAATTCCACTTCCCATTTCTAAGTTTGAGCATTGCTTGAAGTTAATTGGTGTTTGTCATTGATTTAGTCCATTGTGGCTTGTTTGAAAGAAGATGAGTGTTGTTTATTGATGGAGTCGTGACTTGAAATTCTTTGTACTGGAATTTGGTTTAAGGTGGAGATTTGTTGTGGTTTGATCCAAATTCTAGTGGGTATTGGGGTCTAAATTGGAATGGTCTCGAAAAGATCAAAATTATGGACTGGAGGAAAAAGTCACCACATTTTCGCTAGCTGGATGTTCGGCACAAACCCATTTTCGTTTTTTTACGCGATTTTGAACTCCTATTCTTTTACATCTTGTTCTCTAGAGTTTATATGTATATAGTAGATTTCTCCTCCTCTGCTCGTGATTTTTTCCCGTATTGGGTTTTCACGTAAATCTTGGTGTTTATTTTCTTGTTTATTTAATTATCATCATTATCTTACTATCCAAATTCATAACACTAATTGTAAAACTTTCGGGGAAAAATTTAATCAGTTATAAACATATGACCAACCTTAATATGACTTGTCATTTTAAAGTTTTTCATTGTAATCGGGGTATTGAATATTAGGGCTAACATGCTTCAAGCTTATACTTGTTATGAATTAATTATCCCCTTATCTACCCCTAAGCCTACTTTGAGAGTTTTTTTTCACCTATTTTGACTAGTTTTGTATGACACCGTTTATGAGAGGTTAGAAAAATCGTTGCTTGCTAATTCTTTTGGACATTAATTTTGAATAGTTTAAAAATCACCAAAAATCGATACAGTGTAATTTTAATCGGTTCTCTCAACCCATCAAATCGACAGGTTTGGACTGTTTTTCATATTCTCTTTTAATTTTACCATTTATAAAATAATTAATTTCCAACCAAGGTATTTTTCTTGCTTGTAAGTAAAAATACATTAAGTAAAAAAATTTATAAGCAAAAAAAATTATATTATAATTAAAAAACTCTTATAAGTAAAATATTACTTATAAGATAAGAAAAATTACTTATAAGTAAAACAACACTTTTATGTAAAAAAAAAAATGTTTGTAAAATAAAAATACTACTAATGAGACAAAATTCACTTATAAAATATAAAAAGTTACTTATAAGTAAAAAAAATCACTTAAAATTATTTAAAGTATAATATTAACTTATAATTGTAAAATTTATTTATAAGTAAAAATTATTAACTTCGAATTTTAGATAAATATTTAATTTTTTAGGTAAAATATTGACTTATATGTAAAAAAATTATCTATAAATAAAATATCTCTTATGAGGTAAAAAAAAGTTCATATATGAAATTCTAAACTGAAATTTTTGCTATGGGATATATACGTAATTTTATTCTTAAAAAAAAAAAGAATTCAAAACTGATGGAAAATAAACTTTCAAGCATAGGTTGTACAGTTTTAAAAATCACAACTAAAATCACTCAAAATTAGTCCACTCATAAAAGCTCAAGCTTTAAAAAAAACGCTCATAACCGATACTTTATCAAGTTTCTTTTTGTTTTTTCATATATAGTTTTAGCATATAATCTAGTTACTTCCTACGATTCTTACTTTTATAATTCAAGTGGCCCTTCTGAACTTGGTTATATAATGTTGATTATAGTGGCTAATAATCTTTGAATATTTTTCAAGGGATGCAACACGAATCAGATAGTGACAGTGACTAAAGAAGATCAAGAAGAATAAATATCAATTTATTGTTGTACATGAATTTGTGTGTGCCTGTTTTATATGTAATGTGTTTGAACTTTGAACATTAGTTGTGTGACATTAATGCTCGTATTTTGCTTCTCTGAGAAGATGAGTGGCTAAAAATGAAAGTCTTCGCACAACACATAACGAAACGGTACTAAGAAAGCCAAACATTAATGACTACTTTGAACACCATGATCTGATCCTTTATTTGATCAAACCACTCTTATAAAGATAAAACAAAAGCAAACTCATAGTTTGAAGCCCTGCTCCAACTGCTTTGTAAGTGAAGTGAGGTATAAGAGCACGGCCTTTATATTTGAGATGTAGAAATTGAATAGCATTTACTTTGCTGGCCTATATGTAATGTAATATCAAGGGTATGAAGGATTATATAGCAATAAATAATATAAAAAAAGTTAAAATTGTGTTTTTTATATTGTTAAATCCTGTCGAATTGCAAGTGATCTCAAATTTTCCCAAAATTTAAAAGTCATTTTTATCAAAATGGTGTCTGAAACAAAGTTTTGCAACAACGAAACTAAACTATGTCCATATGGACGACTATCTTGTAATTTTCTGACGAATAATAATATTTAGAACCAGCTGTGCTAAAACACAAATCTATTTAACATTATGTAATATATTTAATTAAATGTGAATCATGTAATTCATTTAATTGTACGTTTCATTTAATTACATTTAATGCCATCTAAAGTTGTAAATAGCACTAGTCTTTTCTGACATACGGCATTTCTAATCAAAATTAAAACAAGATATAGTCAGGCGACTATGATAAAATTATACAGATTGTGATTAATCGAGTTTTTAACCCTCTTCCATGTATCTGCAACATTATGCTGCAGAGGCCATTTGAAATGGTTTCATGTCTACCACAAAATATATACACAACAATATTCATACCCTTTCTATCCAATTAGAAAAGAAAACTCTTAAGAAAGTGAATATGCCGGCAGAAATAATAGCTGTACCTGTATAATTAAATTTGTTTGAAATATATTGGGAACGATGAGAAGACTACAGAATTAACTAGTTAATTTACAGCATTGACATAATAAATCTAAGAAAAACGAGAAAGAATGCAAAATAATAATAATAATAATAATAATAATAATAATAATAATAATAATAATAATAATAATAAGTAGTGAACTTTAGAACATCGTCTAAGATTAGAGTCGGAATCAGTAGAGATAATTGTAGTTGCAGAAGGTGGCAATAATAGACGTTACACAAATCAAGGGGGATGGAAGAAGGGTGGCATTCAATAGCTTGCTCTCCCCTAGGTAACCAGCTAGGGTGATTGTTCCATCTGCAACCACTCTAGCAAGTGTTCCGGCTTCAGTTGACAGAAGCCCGCCATTGTACGTCCCACAAGATAGCCTGGATGGCATTACTCGAGATAGGAGTGACAAATTGACCCCTGGAAGGAAAATACATTACATCAGGAAATCCAAACGGTTTAGAGATCACATTATCATTCCTTCAGACCACCTTCATGAATCAAACCTTGCAATAGAACTAAATGATAAAGGTGATTTAACAATCAACCCACCGCCACGGGAAATCTATGGCAACAAATGACATATTTTTCAGTTCAATCACTCGAGGAGAAATAAATATTGTATCACTAAAGTCAAATTTAGGGACACTGGCGAACCTGGGGGGTGGCCATGCCCCACCAGGATTTTGGGTTGCAGAGTTTACCTCAAGAGAAAATGCCACAATTGGTTCAAATTATTAGGAAGGGGAATGAACAATTGGCGCAAGATGGCGATGAAATTGAGCTCGATATTGAAGCCCTTGATACTGAGACTCTTTGGGAACTTGATCGGTTCGTAACTAATTGGAGTATTATTTTTTTTTCTTAATTTGCATTTGGGAACTATTGAAGTTCACGTGCTGTTTATATATTTTAGAGTGCAATGGGCGAGGGGAATGTTTTGGAAAATAAGCCTAAAAAAACGAGGATGAGGATGTGGACATTGACGATGATATGCCTGCTACACACTTTCCTTCCGTGGAGATTGAGAAGGACGAAGGAGGTGAACAAGTTGGTCATGATCAAGACCGTGATTATGGTAATGCCTCTAGTGGCTCAAGCAGTTCCAGCAGCTCAAGTAGCAGTTTCTCATCTTCCAGTGGTACTGATTCTTGCGTTTCTACACTGTGTTGAGGAATTTCTTCCTTGGAATTTTCCGAGTGCTCATTAGTTTGAGCTTTCTTTTACAGATTCTGATTCTGGGAGTTCCTCTGGTAGTGACTCTCATGCAGATAATGTGCAGTCCTGACATTTTTGTTTAAGCAATTTACTAAAAATTAACTGGCTTTGGATCGAAATATTGCGCTTTCGCCTTAGTAGTGTTTGTGTCCAATAGAATGTTTCTTGTTGAGGTACATAAACATCATTGTAGTTTTCATAATTTCCTCATTTCTTTTAATAATAATTATAATATTAATAATAATAATAATAATAATAATAATAATAATAATAATAATAATAATAATAATAATAACAACGATGAGTTTGAACTTTAGAACATCGTCTAAGATTAGAGTCGGAATCAGTAGAGATAATTGTAGTTGCAGAAGGTGGCGATAATAGACGGGTGGCATTCAATAGCTTGATCTCCCCTAGGTGGGATGGAAGAAGGGTGGCATTCAATAGCTTGATCTCCCCTAGGTAACCAGCTAGGGCGATTGTTCCATCGGCAACCACTCGAGCAAGTGTTCCGGCTTCAGTTGACAGAAGCCCGCCATTGTACGTCCCACGAGATAGCCGGGATGCCATTACTCCAGATAGGAGTGACAAATTGACCCCTGGAAGGAAAAAACATTACATCAGGAAATCCAAATGGTTTAGAGATCACATTATCATTCCTTCAGACCACCTTCATGAATCAAACCTTGCAATAGAACTAAATGATAAAGGTCATTTAACAATCAACCCACCGCTACGGGAAATCTATGGCAACAAATGACATATTTTTCAGTTCAATCACTCGAGGAGAAATAAATATTGTATCACTAAAGTCAAATTTTAGTACATAAATCAGGGAAACCTACAAATATATGGAGGGTACTGCTCCTACCAAACCAACACAGCAGCGGCTGGCCACTAATAATGCAACAGATTATTGTATCCTCTTGCCCAATAATCAAAATTGTCATTTCCTTACATTAAGATTGATCAAAAGTAAGCCAGGATTAGGTCACGCACCATCGAAGGGGGTGGACTCACACTAAGATAGTGATTAGCCGAAAATTTGGGAGTAACTCCAAAACCAAAAGAATCAAACCATAAAGTGAAAAACGAGAAAAACATAATCAGTTTGGGTGTTCCCATCTCAAACACCAGAGATCATGATGATCAGCCTTCCATTGATACTTCTATATTGTGTATAAACATGCAAGTTTCTGTAATAGAAAGGTTACCTTCCAAAACTTCTGCAGATACGAACATTATTAGCCCTGAGCAGACGTATTGTGGCACGGAGTAAGGGATAAAACATGAAAGCTGAGGAGTATCCCCAGCAACACCATAATTTCTGATGTCAGCAAAATCTGCCTGTTAAATAGATAAAATTGTAAAATTGATCAGTAGGTTGAGACTAAAGAGATTCCCGATGAACTTGCTGGAAGTTAGCATAAGGTTGAGTTGTGATCTCGAGTATTTTTTTTGTTTTCCCCTTGAGGAAGAAGAAGGAGAGGACTTCAAATGGCACTATAATTGTTAGGTTTATATATTGTATTGTCGATTCTGTGAACAAAAGGACCAACTTGGACGATTATAAAAGATTAGGGAGTAAATTGTAAAGTTTCATAGTTGGTAAGTTAGCTTAGGATTTGGGGTTTCATATTTGGAACAAGAAAGATTCACGCCGATTTTTCGCTAGCTGCTCCCCGGAGTCATGCTTGAGCGGATGAAGTAGGAACATCTTAGCTCGACCTTCGCCCAACTGTCGCTCAAGCGACATACCCTTCACTCGAGCAAAACGTCCTCGTTTGAGCGACTGATTTTTTCAACCAAACCTAATGTCGATTTCCGAGACTTTTTACTTGGCCCAATTTACTTAAACTGTCCAACCTATAAATATAGGCGCCTTATATTCTACTTGATAGAGATTGAACATACTATTTTCTAGAGTGAATTCATTCTACACAAGATCAATAGTTCAATCCCTCAATCATATATGTGCTCATCATATTGAAAACATCAAATCCATGAAGTCAAACATCATATTGCATTCTTCGATTGGGTCTGTCAGAAAGATTGTGACGTTGGTATGTGCAGTTGCACGCACCCACCTAAAAGTCATACCTTAACATCTAAAACTAATGTAGTAGTGGAAGTAAGGGTCGATCCCACGAAAAGTATGCAATTCAATATTTTGTGCTTCGTACAATGATTGAGGGTTTTTGTATGCAAACAATTGTAAATAACGCAATCAATAACAATGAAAAGTAAATTAACAAAAATAATTAAAAGACTAACATTGGTCTAAGTCAACATTCATCGTCGAAAATCTATAATTGATCATAGATGCAAGGATAATTCAATTCATATTTTGAATACTCATCGTTAGAATTGATTCATATTTCTCCTTAATTTTAGTTAGTTAGAAACCAGCGTTCTAACTAACCCTAATTATTAAATAACCCCAGACCAGTTCTCAAGATTTAATGTAATAACAACTTTACACAATAGAGAAATGATGACCTAGTTAATACAAACACTAGCGGTTGCATTCAATCTATTTAAACATTCTTCTTAAGATTCAATAACCTCTATCGCAGAAAATCATCAAATACTAGTGCTTCACAAGTTAAAGAGATCAAACAATTACGGATTTGATATTTAACTTAGCGGTAGATTGTTACAATCAATGAATTAGCGGGCCTTTTAGCAATTAAACATTCAATACACAAAAATATAAATCAAACAATAAGAAAAACTATTTAGATCTCACAATATGTAGTTCCGAGGCTTCCGTTTCCTTCGACCAAGTGTAAAAGTTTAGTTACAATTCATGAATCTAAGAGAGAAATAATGAAGAATGGAGTTTAGAGATGTTCTGTACGTTCTGGTTCTGTTCTAGAGTTTTAAAATATGTATTTATAGTTGTTTCCATAGGTAGTTTACTTAAATTCAGAAATCAGAATTTTTGTGTTGGAAGTCTTCCATGCGACCGCATAGTATAAACTCATGCAGTCGCATAGAACAAATAAATTCAACCCTCAAACTCTGGGTAATGGTCTATGCAGTCGCAAGAAATTAACACTATGCGATCGCATAGTGTTAGCAATTTTTTTCGGACAATTTTCAGTATTTTGGTCATATCTTTCTTTTCCAATATCTGATTGAGGCGACTCAAGATGAGTTAGAAAGCTAACTCAATGGACTAAAACTTTACTTCAGATATAATCTTCCAATTCAATCGTTTGACATGTCAAAAATGAGTCTCAATATGAGGCCGAAAATCAATGTATAACTTTTCAATTGAAAATTGATGTGTGATTATAGTTTGACGATATTTTATCCCTTTGACGTCTTCTTTCAACCAATTGACTCTCAAATCTTCATCGTTTGGTTCGACACAAATTTTGTGTATTTACACACTAGTCCTTGAACTTTCATTTCCTTTCACTTTGTCCATTTTCACCTATTTCTTCCAAATTACGCTATTTCCATTAAATTGCCACCTAAATCAAAGTATGAACGTAATGAGTACATTTTGACATTGATTAATGATACGAGCACATAAAATAAGGAGGGAAAAGTATGCATTTTACATTCCTATCAAATTCTCCCACACTTAACTTTTGCCCCGTACTCGGGCAAAATTCAAATTTAATTCCCCAAAAATACTAGGTCGTAATACCATGAATATAGAACAATCAAACTCTTTAAAACACACAACACGTCATAAATAAACATTCTCACACAACTTATTATCAATTAGTTAGTATTTTCATATGAAGATGGAATAAACCAAACATGTAGATCCTCACTGATATAAGCACTCAACTCTCATGTGTTTAAAAGGTAAGTATTTCGCTCAAGTTCATTCCAATGAAGATGATCTACCTTATGCTTGCATATCTTCTCATTCGCCACCACTTAGATCACATGTTTTACAAGAATCATAAGGACTTTTCAAGGGTTGTAATGTAGCTTAGGGTCAAAGTGCGAAATATTTGGGTATGTGACTCAAGAGCTATCGAACTATTTCTTGAAATGTAGGAGGAATTATGAATATAGATATTTTGTAACATTGACATCACTCTCCTCCATCACTTATTTTCTTTTTCTTCTATCATTCACTTTTTTTTCTCTTTTTTTTTTGAAATATAAATGCCAAATATTACATCATAATGGAACTTATAAATTGAAATTGAAGCATGTTCTCTTCCACCAATCATAGTTCTATCAAAAATTTTGACACCCAACACTTATTTTCTTGTACTCCTACACATATCATGATGATGAGCAATACTCCACTAGCTATAAGACTTGGGTAAAGATTATTTTTCAGGTTTAAAGCTTGTAACGTGGGTTTACAAAAGAAAAGATAATAAAGCTCAAAGGGACTCAACAAAGGCCAAAATTAATTGCAGGGTAGGATATTTGGCTAATGTAGCTAATTTATGTAACAAAGATGGCATTAATCATGTTCGTGCATGTATGTGTCAATGTGATCTTGAAGAGAATCAAAGCAGATTTTAGAGAAATAAAATTATGGAAGAATATCACACATGAAAGAAATAATGAGACTGTTATGGATATGTCAGTCTAAAGGCTCAAAATCTCACCGAGTTTTTGTCTACAGAATTTAGTTACTACAATTTTCAAAGAAAATAACTCAACCAACTAACTCTAAGTTGTAAGATTATTCATTCAATCACGTTATGAGTTCTTCAAAAGCCTAATTAATTCTTGCAAATAGCATATACAACCAAAAAAATCATTTAACCTCAACTCCTCTTCTTGAAAAATCATGCAAAAATTTTCAAAAATTTTGAAATTTAAACTCTATCTAAATGCAACCTAAATCTAAATCCCCTCCCCCACACTTAAAATTTACATTCTCCCCAATGTAAGATGCAATGCAAAGAAAAAGACAAAGATAACTAAAATATGAATGCGAAAAATAAAAATAAAAAGATAAAGAAACGAACTCCCTTTGGGTTGCCTCCCAAGCAATGCCTTTATTTATTGTTTTTGGCTAGACTCAATGTTTCTATGTTTAGCCCGGGTCTATCATGGTTGACTTCGATCTTCCTTGCAGTGCACCAAGTCTATTAGGAATGATAACTTGCGGTGTTCTTCCACCTCCATGGAATGTATACTTGTAGTGACTGAAGTGGGGGCTTCAAATCTGAAATGGAAGTCTGCAAAACAGAAAGTAGAGGCCTCTCATTAGAAACTGGTAAAACAAAATAAGAACTGTTACCTGAATGCTGTAGCTTAGGAAGATTGCTCAATATTGTAACATTTTCTTGTAACTCAGTGTTCAAAGCTAGCTTCTGATTTTCCTTCCTAAGATGCTCATAATTGACAGCTTTCCATTCCTTTTTAGCATCAAATTCAAAAATATCATGTGATAATTGATCAATCACATCAATAAAATGAACATGATTATTATTACACGGATATTTCATGGAATTATAGATATTAAGTTTAATGATCTTATCATCAAATTCCATAGTCAATGTGCCATTATTAAAAAACCCATTTTAGTTTTGGATGTCCTTAAGAACGGTCTTCCTACCAAAATAGGTGTAGTATGATTACTATTACCCATGTTAAGCACATAAAAATTAGCAGGAAAAACCAACTCATTAACTTTTACGAGAACATCCTCAACTATCCCCTTAGGATAGGCATTAGATTTATCAGTTAGTTGAATTATCACAGAAGTTTTATTTAAAGTCCAACTTTTAAGGAAGTGTATACAGAATATGGCATGATATTAATAGATGCTCCTGAATCTAGCATGGCCTTTTCAAACTTAGTGTCGCCTATCATGCAAGGGATAGTGAACATACCTGGATCAATGCACTTTGCTGGAAGTTTCTCTTGAATAATTGCAGATACCCGTTCTCCAACTTTTACCCTTTCAATCCGCTTCAGTTTCTATTTTCTCTTACTTGTGTACAATTGTTTCAAAAATTTAGTATAACGAGGCACTTGTTTAATAATATCTAAAAGTGGAATATTTACCTCACATTTACTAAAAATTTCATGTAGGTCATCATGATCTCGTTCATATTTTCTAGTTCCTACTAAAGCTTGAGGAAAAAGGGGTACTGGTTTATAATCATAAAGGGGTAAAAACTTACTCTCAGTCACCTCATTATCATTGGTGGTAGTCTTGTTTGCAACCTCATTCTCTTCATCTCCTTGCTCCAACGGCTTAGAGGCTGCCTTTATCAAAATCTCAACCTCTTTACCACTTCTCA